GGCTTCCAAATAGAAATTCTTCCCTGGCTTTCTGTTCTGTGAAAACCATCCTGATTTGGAAGCAAAATGAATGTCAAACCACTGGACTTTCCCCCGGGGCAAAATTCCTGTCCCCAGTTCTCCTTAATAAACAGGGCAGCAACCATCGCTGTTTGGTTGAGAACATCTAAGGAACCCTTAGGAGCAGAAGATAGGATTTGCTCTTTCACTTGGTGCCCCAAACCCTTGTATTAGGCTTCTGTGTATTCTGCAGTTTGCTGCTGTATCAGTATAAATGGAGTGGTTTTGGGGCATGACTTTTTTACCTGGTGTGTTGGAATTTCAGGTGCAATTGTGATTTAGCATCTTTGTCCTAATATCATCTCTCTCTCCTGAGTTATCGGCACTGTCCCCAATCTTTGCCCGTGTCATCTTCCTTGATCATAGTCTAAATAACCATCCAAGGTGGCCTTTTTTTCCTAGCATATGCTACCACCTTGGCTTTGGGTTATAAAGTTCACTTAACATCTTGTGTAAAGCCCAAATGTTTTGATTGCTTTTGGGTCACCCCCGCCCCCTCTTAAAGCACCATAGCAGCAAACAGCATAGTTTAGAAAATAAATGGAAACGTACATGTTCTTCTTCAAACTGGTCCCCGCCCAATGCCGATACACAGGGCTTGATACCTCCTGTTCCAAGAGCAATCAAAGACAGGCCAACCATGGACAGGACCCTGCAAACAGGGAAGAACATTTCAGCATCCTTTGTAGAGTAAGATTCTGGTTACAACTCACAGTAGATTGCTTTGGGGTCACTTTCCAGCTTGCCCAAGGGTTGAGAACAAAGAGCAAGTTGAAGTGCTCTGGAAGTAGGAACAAGAACAAGCAGGAGTAGTTCCCCAGAAACGCCAGGCCAGTTGCAACCCCAGTGAAAGGCAGGTAGGGGCACCTTATAACCCCAGCCCCCACAACTTAGTGGGAAGTAGAGCAGGCAATGGAGCCAGGCTTGCCTAGTGAGAGGCACCTGAGTCTGTGGGGTGTAAGACCCTGAGGCCCCAGTGTAGGGGGCAAAGTGTTGACCTCAGGGAGGGGGCCATGGGTGCAAAGTAAGGTTGCAAGGGGCCACCTGAAGGGCTGCACAAGAGTTGTTTAGTGAGAGAGCCCCAGTGGTCGTAGTAAATCGTTGCCCCAGTGAGAAGGTGGAGGAGTAGCCCCAGCAAGAGGGCAAGGAGAGTTGGGCCAAAGACAGAGCTGAGTTTCAGTGAAAGTGTGTGCAGTGCACAGCTGAGGATACCTGGCCAAGACCGGCGACCAATAGGAGCCTGGGAAGTCATAGTGGGTAGTTCGGAGCATAGCATGGTGGCACAGTGTGACGATGAGCTCTGGGGGGGAATGATTTTCCTGAGTGAGACCCTGGACCACAGGTCACAGTGTGAAGCACTGTGCAATATGGATGCCATCTGAGAGGCATGGGACACAGTACAGGGAAGGTTGGAGCCATGTGTAAACCCCTTAGCCTCGGGGCATCAAATGGGCAGCCTCCTGCTTATTACATCAGGTTTATCCCAACAAGTCATGGCAGGAAAGATAGGGCAGGTTGCCCTAGACAGAGGGATGTGCAGTATGGTGACCCGTCATGAGTAGGCTCCTTTTGTCACACTTGCCATTAATCAAATCGTTAACCAAACCAGGTTTTGCAATTCTGGATACGTTCCACTATCTTTGCCATTTTCCTGCATGTCTGCGCACCAACCAGGCATGAAGACAGAAGGTTAGGGGCTCATGGGACAGCCTATTTCTGGCACAGACGGAAGCAGAATGTTCCAAGTAGCATGCAAAGAGAGAATCGTTTCCTACACATTTTTCCAGCTCAGGTTTGCAGACATAGAAGGTTTGAAAAGGTTTTGGATCAGCATCACTTTAGGACCCACCTTGCTCCCTGACTCCTAACCTCACAAGATCTACTCATTACTGACTAGAACCATGCTGGTGCCGGTGCACAAGCTCTTTCCAAATGGCACCAGAACACGTGGGGTTGAAAGCACCCAGAGAACCTGGGAAATTGTCTGGCAAGTCTGTTTGACATGTTTCTCCGCGTGGTGCCCATCCAGGAAAAAATACCAGTAGGCTACAGATGTTCAGTGAAACCAGTCATGGAACTGCCATGGGAAAGATGAAGGGGATCTGGAGGTAAAGAGCAGAGATGTCCTAGAGAAGAAGCAAATCTATTCTGGTCCTCCTGGGTCTCTTTGGAGAATGTGCTCCAAGCTGGTGATTTCCTGGCTTCCTGACAGATGCACGCAGTTCTCTGTCCTCTCCCCACACTTCACCCAAGGTAACCTGCCTACATTTTTCCTAGCAGGTCTCCAGACTGGCTCTGATCTCCAGCAAATGGCTCCATATTCATTTAATAATGCTACATGAATTCCCAATGCATGGGAAGCAAACAAAAACCTTGTACGCAGCCAATGCTGATGGTCTGACAGACAAGATGCCATAACCAGGTATCATGACAACACGGGCTCAGTGTTTACTTACACATGAAGAACCTGGTCCCCCACAACTGGTATTGCACCGACTGACTTGATCACATGGCCAGTCACATAAACAATGGACAGGCAGATGATTGTCCTGTGAAGAGAGAAAATGGTAGCAGATGAATACTCTCGGGTGATGTCTGATCTAAAAACTGAAGAGGACCCTGCATTTCCTATCATGGTTTGCCTGGCATGTGCACTTGAAACTGGATTGTCCCTGCCTCTGGCATCTGAAGACGTATCTCCACTGGGTCCACTCCACAAATGTTGTAGGGAGGAGACAGGCAAACTGGTTCAGGTGGAGGAATAAAGGGTCAAAGGCTGCTTTGCAAAAGCAGTTATTACTAGGAAGGATTAGCTAACTGCCTGCCAGGTTAATATGCAATTTAAGGTAAGTATAAACCAGATCATATTTAATTTCAAAATCACCTCCTTTTTCTACTGGCATTCCAACCTGCCAGCCAAATCAATGCTCACTTAGGAGGGTGTATGTGTATAGCCTCTATGAGTACATCGTCCCAAGGGGGAAAAAATCTCTAAAATAAGCAGCTGTAGGACAGCCTGCCCCAGGAACCATTCCCTCTTAAATCCTAATATGCAGAGGTCATTTGTGGATTCATAGCCTTTGGGGCACCATGGCCAAGTCCAGGACACCTTTGTACAACAGAACTCAGCTGTGAGCAACTGATTTACCAACCAAAATCCCCATTATCATTTCATTTGTTAAAAGGGACAAGTTAGAAGGGAAGAATGTGCTGGTGGTCTACTGGGACATGCTAGCAAGAAACTGGACCAAATGGGTTGTGACCATTGCTCAGGGCATCATGAAACTGGAAAGGCATTTTCAACCCTGGAGAGGAATGTGATATTCCTGTTATTTTTGTGGAAGAAGCTAGCCTAGTAGACAGCATAAAAACTGGAAAGTAGGACTACTGAGTTTTTATCTCCATCCACCACTCCCCCGACCACTGACTGTGGACCAGCCTTGTTAATCTCCGGGTACCAGATACCTCCGAGGGATGTGGGGAGACTTAATTTATTGATATTGATATATCACTTGCTGGTCTCCAAATGGAAAAGAAGCACAGATTATATTACACACCACCCTTCACCCACTCCTCTCACTCAGATTTATCCCAGGCCTTTCCCCATGGTCTCCACACAGTTTGAGGCTCAAGGAATATATTTGTATGCTGGGTCACATCACTGAGAAATAAACTGCTGCAACATGGTGTCATCACAGCACACAAATCATGGGCTCCATTTGTCTGCATCTTGATATGTCCCTTTTACGGCGGTTCTGGAAATTATGAGCCTCGGCAAACCTGCCAACTGTTTGCTCATTAATGGAAATCAAAGCACATGGTTTTTAGTACTGCAACTTCCAGGGACACATCTTTCAGCCCCACAGCTACAGGTTCGACAAGGAGTAATAGCCTTTACACTCAGTCCATTGGCTTGTCAAGTCAACTGACAGACAAATACAGTTTCCCTGAGAACATATATCTTTATACATGAATTACTCCTTGAATCATACAATCACAGGATGGTAGCGTTGGAGTGATCTTGTAGCCATGATGGTCCAGGAGTTGTATGACAGGCAAGGAATTTTTGGGGTGATATCTTTTACCGGACCGACTGCACAATTGGGATAAAGTTAGACGTGCTTTAAAATGCAAGACATTCTTCATTGGGTACACAGTAACATGCTAACGCGTGTACAGCCAAAGAGGCAGTTTCCCATATCAGTCTGAAGCCAGGTAGGAGGCAGGCCAGAGTGGCACCTTGTCGACTAAGTCAAAGAGGCGTAAGCTATCTGACATCAGTTCCAGAAGCGCACAAAACCCGGTGGCAGAGCACTAACACATGCCGCTGTTGACCTCAAAGTAGCTGTTCTTAAACAACAACACTTTAAGAACCGGCCTGAATGCAAAATTGAGAAGCAAGAGATCATCCATAGACTGGACTGCGTTAAGGATGGTCTAAGAAGAGATTGCAGGGTTGTATCCCATTGCCTGGCTTTACTTTTACAACCCCTATGTCCCTATGGTTTTACCGCTTTGTTTACCACCTTCGCCTCTCTCAGCAGGGCCCTCTCTCTGCCACTCCTTCCCTATTCTTTGAATTTAAATTACTGCTTTTTCTGTAGACTCCCTGCTCGCTACAGGTCCATTCGTAACATCTCACAAAGCAAGCCTGGCCTTCTACATGTAACACAGCTAGCTTTTATTTTTGCATTCCTTGACTTTTTGGTCAACTTCCAAGTCACCCAGGAAGATACACCCTGACCCAAAAAGGTACTTACATTAATCTCAGCCATTTAAGTCTTTCAGGCTACTCCTACTCTTTCTAATCTGTTTGCTACATTCCTTTTATGTTCCAGGGTGGGTCAGACCATCAAGCAAGGCTCAGATTTGAGGACCTTAAGGAATTAACTCTGAACCTCCAGATGAGACATTTATGTTCAGAAATGTTCTTCCTTACTTGAATTTTCCCAGCCAGGAGTCAGCTATGATTGCTCCAATGACGGGGGTGAAGTAACACAGCCCTGAGAAGGCATGGTACAGAGAGGTGGACAGGTTCTCGTCCCAGTGCAGGAAATTGAGAAAATACAATGTCAGGACAGCTAGAAAAAAAAGAAAAGAAATGATGTGGCTTGTTTAACATGATGCCAGGGAGGTAAACCAGTATTGAAATCCAAGTGCCTAGAAGGATGAACCAAATTATGTGTGTAATAAATGCTGATTAATTTGCTACTGCAAAGGGCAGGCAAATAATGACAAATTATCCAGTAATGACCAGTTATCAAAGAGGGGAGGGCAGCTATCAGGGCAATGGCAAATTAAGCCGTAGCAGTGATGTGTCACATAAATGAATTAACCAGAGTTTACTGTATTATCAGGGGCTGATCAGGGGAAGTGGGGGGGGGGGTCTCCTGGTGCAGTTGTACCCCGCTTTGATTCCTGCTTCACCCAAACATTAAAACTAATTGCCCGGGAAGGGCAGTGGCATTTCTATTCAGACAGCGCTGAGGGGTTCAATTGACTTCAGGGCTCATAGTCATCTCCGTGATTCCTGCTAATCTCTTTCCACTCCACAGGTGTTACGAACCCACAATCCTTTTTAATAGTCTTGATGTCCCACTATTTAAACTACCCTTTCTTCTGCAAGTTTGCGGTTGGTTAGTCATTCTTGGTAATGTCTTCCTTATTTCACAGCCCTGCAGACTGTGTTTAGCTCTAGCTAAAAACTTTAACTTGGATGTGGTAATAACAACTCAGGTGTAGACGTGCTTGACAGTGAACCACTGGAGGCATTGTCAAGACACTTAGGGTGGTAATATTTTGTTTCATGAAGCTAAATAAGAGAAGTACATTTAACTATAATGACTACAGGACTAATGACACAAGATATTTTGACAGTATTTTGCCTAGTGGCATTTTAAAAATCTTTTTATAAAATCTAGCACATCAATGCACTTTCTAACAGTTATAGTTGTGTTTTGCTTTGATCTTACACTGAATGATATAGTCCTAGCCCCCTAGCACTAAAGCATTTAGTTTTGCTTTAACTGGAGAAAAATTTGTGTTATGTTATAGGTGATGATGGGCCACCGCATCTGCACCCCCCTTTTCAAAATCCACCTGTGTGTACTACGATGCACTGGGCCTCACAGAAAGCATAAGAAATCTGGAGTTTATCAACTGGGCCTTTCCTTCCCCCTTCTGTCTTGATAACAAGTGTCACTGTACTGCTAACGAGACCCATCTCATAGTGTTGCCATTGTCTCTACCCTAAAGCACTGTCCTGTATTGCATGAGCTGGGGGATCAAGTCCATTCACCCAGATGCAGCCTTAGCCTTAGCTACTCCTTTACTTGGTCCTGCCAAATGGAGGGGAACAAAGACCTTGACTCTGGCAGCACGTACTAGAGCAGGGGTCAGCCACCTATAGCTTGTGGGCCAGATCTGGCCTGAGGATGCGAGGCTTCAGCAGCATTTGGCGGCTGGGGGCTTTGGCTGTAGGTGCTCTTCCTATGCCACCATTAGAGCAAGCAGCAGCGGTGGCCAGGTCCTATTGCCCATCCATCCTGCCGCCTGCCTCTGACTTGGGGTGGGTCATTGCAGCCCACAGCTGGAAAAGGTTGCCTCACCCAGTCTTGGAAGGGTGACGATGAAATGCAACCCTAGCCGGTGCACAGCAGTTCAGCATCCAGTGAAGAGATTTATCACAAGCCCATTTTCTTCTTTTGATCTATGGGGCCAATCCTGCAGGGTTCACACAAAGAGGAGCCTGCCCCGGATTCTGCTGAGGTTTGTCTTGTGCAAACACTGTCAGGTGTGGACACTTGTCACCCCAAAGCGGTCAGGAAGGGTGTTTTTCCCCCTTGGGAGAATGGCAGGGCAGGCTGTGCAGCTGGGGTGGAACAGCCATGTAGGTGGGTCTCCAACCCCCCCACCCTCCAAGGCAGCAAATAAGCCAAAGTGCATGGTGAGGCTCAAGGTATACCAGGAAAACCCAGGGCTGTAGGGTCTGTGTTCAGAGGGATCCAGCTGCTCTTGGAAATGCAAGATAAGGGCATGGAGCAAAAGCTGGAATAGGGACTGCCAAAGTGTGCAGCAGTGGTAGCAGAGAGAAGCCGAGGAGGCAGACTCTGCCCTCCCTTGAGGCTGACTGAGGTGAGGGCCACTTGTGCCATGGGATAACTACGTGCATGAGGAAGTGTCTGTGCGTGAAACCAGACAAAGTCACCTGGGGCCTAAATTCCTTCAGCCCGTATTTTGAAAGGACGTCCATGGAAACAGCATGAGAACCAGTGTCTGGAGACAACAGACCAGGGTGAACGGGGACGTGTCAAGGGGAAGGCAGCAGGATCTTCAGAGACGTGCCACATACCTTTCATGCCATAGTAGGAGAAGCGCTCGCAGAACTCGGTCACCACGATGAAGGCGATGCTTAGCGGGTAGTTGGTGCCGCAGAGTTTCTGCAGAAAACACACCAGGACACATTGTTTTTGTGGAAGTACTGGTCCCAGCAACATCTTCCCACCCTACACGTGCAGCGTCGGCAGAGGAGGTCTAGTCTGAAAGCCCAGAGCCCAACACAGCAGGTGCTGCAGAGATCAGTCTCCAATCTCCAGAGCAGCCTCCTCACCCCGGGGGCCCTGAGCTGTGCCCCCGGGTACATCAAGAGGGAGAAAACCCGCATCCCTTCACCTGTGTCCTCTGCTCAGGTCATATATTCTGACCTCCCTTCCATGGTCAATTCATTTCTTGCTGCTAAATACTCACTGCAATCTCCCTCTCTTTCCCCAAATGTGACTCGACTGCCAGTCTATTCCTAGAGCAGTTGAAGTCAAGGCTTAAGTTGCATTTATGAGAAGGGGGGGATCCGGGACACTGTTTCCTGTCTCCAGAATAAGGCAGCACTGCAGTACCTGTAGCAAATGTGATTTTCTTTTTCCTTAAACAGTGACTGGTGTATCCTGAACTCCTCAGAGCCTGAGGGCTATCAGCGATTTGCACTTAACTGAGGCTGAGCTTGCAGTCTCATAAGAGTAAAACAGCACCAAGCATTTCATTTTAGCACAAACGAGGCTTTTTGTGACCCTAAAGTGGACTTACAGCCTGCCTCTACCCCTTAGCATGACTCCTCAGCTTTGCATCCTCTCAACCAGGGAAGTGGCTTTGCAGAATATCCCCTGCCCTGTGGCAGGCAGGTACAACAGGAAAAAACACAATGGAGGGAGGTGGGCGAGTCTGATGCTTTATGCTTGTGTCTTTCTAATGATTTATGCTTGTGTTTTTCGTTTCTGAAAGGACCCTCTTTTCAGGCCAAGATGGCATGAGACTCGCTCCTCCTAATGTTTTTCAGCTTCTGAATGCTGGAAATACTGACCTGGATTGTGCAACCCCAAATGCAAATACAGATCCCAAAATAACCGTGCTGCTCCTAGTGTATCTGACCACTTCAGCATTTGAGTATATTTGTGAATTCCCAAAATGACAGACTCTTTTAATCTTGATGCCAGCCTAATTTTATATCTATATCTATATCTATATCTATCTATCTATCTATCTATCTATATATATGTATAGATATATGCATATGTGTGTGTGTGTGTGTGTGTGTGTGTGTGTGTGTGTGTATTTATATATATATCTTTGGTTGGTCTGGAATGATGCAAGAATAATAAGAGACAAGGAAGCAAGTGTCCTCAGAAACGGTAGCCGACAA